GTCTCGGCCCCGTAACTGGCTTCATTCTCGAGGAAGCTCCCCAAAACCACGTGGGGCGCGTAAGCAGAGGCGCGGGTGCCGTCAGGGCTGGAGCACGGGCGCAGAGAGCTCCCACCACGTCTCGCTCAGGAGGGCTCAGCCCCAGCGCAGAAGGAAAAAAGAGTTTTAGGAACTGATCTCAGCCCACGCGCTACACACCCCCCGTTTTTTTCAGCAGAGGGGTTCGCAGTGGGGGCTCAGGGGAGACGTCGGAGCCTCGGCGTGCCCGGGAGCTGCTGCTGGTGGTGACCGGCAGGCGAGGGAGCTTCTGGGAAGGACATTTCTGTCTCATTTGCCTCTTCCAAGCTTCCCAGAAGTCTGGTAAGCAGATTTGCAGCGCACCCGCTCGCCAAATTAAATCACTGCCCTGGAGATGCCTTTTGGATGATGAGACTGAAACTCTTCAGCTTCTCTGCGTGGAGCTGAGCCGCCCCAGCCCAGACGTGGGGCTTGCAGAGCTGATGGTCCCCAGGTGCGGGACAACCCTCCGGACCCCCACATGCCCCCGCAGGGGCGGCATTTTCCAACAACGCACGGGAACGTTTCCCCAGAGGATGGGTACGAGCACCCCAGCTCCATCGTTCTCTTCCCCGTGAGGGTTATTAAGCAGCCCTGAAGCCGAGGCTTTGGTTGGGGTTTTGCATTTTATTTGGTTTTTTTTAAAGTCTCCAAGGCAAACAAAACCACAGCCCTTGCACCACACGCTCCTGGCTTCCATCCCCCAAATCCCCTTACGTGTTATTTTAGTGGCATTGCCCTTCTCAGCAAGGAGGGGGCCGCAGGTCGGGCACCCCCCCAGAACCAAGGCAAAACGGAGGTCTGGGCACCTCCTCGCTGGGGACCCAGTTTTAACCCACCTCCCCGAGTCTCTAAAGCTGCAGGCTCTGCTCCGAGGCAGGCAGAGACCTTCTTCCTTCTTCTTCTCCTCCTCTTCTTTCTTCTTCCTTCTTCTTCTCCTCCTCTTCTTTCTTCTTCCTTCTTCTTCTCCTCCTCTTCTTTCTTCTTCCTTCTTCTTCTCCTCCTCTTCTTTCTTCTTCCTTCTTCTTCTCCTCCTCTTCTTTCTTCTTCCTTCTTCTTCTCCTCCTCTTCTTTCTTCTTCCTTCTTCTTCTCCTCCTCTTCTTTCTTCTTCTCCTCCTCCTCCTCCTCTTCTTTCTCCTCCTCCTCCTCCTCTCTTGCAGAGCCCCCATCACAGGGATTTAGGATCTATGGGGCTGCCCCAGCGCATCCCCCCCAAGGGCACCCAGAGTCCCTGAGTCCCCACAGAGGGACCACCCCAAGGGCGACACAACTCCCCCAACAATGGATATGGCACCTTCAAGACTTTGTACCCGAGAGGGGGAACGGCCCCAGGAGAGCCACTAAAGGCTTTCAGTAATTAGCAATTAGCATCCCTGACGAGCTCCCCCTGGCCTCTCTGAGAGCAGCTGAGCCTGATACTAATGAGGTTCCGTGCTAATTATAGGAGGTGCGCAGGGCCAAGCTGCCGCCTGCAAGGCGGGCAGGGACCACACCGGGCTCTTGGCTGAAAACCCTTTCGGAATTCTTTGCGCTATAAAAAACCCGCGCTGGGTCAGGGCAGGTTTTTTTTCCCCCGTGCCCGGCGCCCAGCACCCCCGGGGGCCGGCAGCACCGAGCCGTGCTGTTCCCGGCCCCCGGCCGCGCTCTCTGCGCACAAGTCGGTCCCTCTCTCATTCAGCATCTTGAATAATTCACGCCGAATAACACGGGTTTCCGCCACGTGGCGTTGTGCCCACCTGGAGCTCGAGCCAGCAAGGAAATACAGTCCCTCGGAGGAGCCTTGGGGACGTCAGGGGCTTCAGCGACGTGCTGGAGGGCGCCCCAAACCTCTGTGGCACGGCGAAAGGCTGGAGCAGAGGTCCAGCATCCCAACGGGGTTTTAATCCCTTCTGACAGAGCTGTCGGTGCGGCCCCGAGGTGTCGGCTGTGGGGTCGGCCCGCGAGGCTGAAGGCTGTGTCGGTGTAGGTACCGGGCTGCGCTCTCCCCGTGCCGGCGGCGCCGCGGCCGGGCGGGCTCTCCGTGCGCGGGGGGCCCCGCGGGGGGCG